GAGGCCGTGCGGGTGCCGGTGTTGGCCGAGCACCGCCTGGGTGAGCGCCGGGAGCGGCGGAGAGGAGGGGGAGGGTCGGCATGGGGAGGGCCGGCAGGGTCCCGCGCTGACCGCCGTCTCTTTCCGCAGTTCGAGGGCCCCGCTTCACGCAGCTGAAGATCGGCGCCGGGCACCGGCTGGACGTGAAGGCGTCGGGGGTGTTCGGTGCGAGCGGGGCGCGGCGCGGTCGGGTGTTGGGGGACATCGAGGCGGCTCTGCCGTGCCGTCGGCACGCTGCTCCCACCGCCGCGGTGCTGCGGGATGGGCGGCGGGGTCGGCGGCTCCGGCTGGGGAGCGGCACGCGTGGAACTGGCGGCGCGGCTCTAAGCGTGCCTCCTGTGTTGCAGTGCTCGGTGTTGGGCACGGGAACAAGCTCCTGAGCCACCTGTACGACTGCCACCTGAGCAAGGTAGGCGCTGCGCAGTGCCACGGGCACCCAGGGATGGGGTCTGAGTCTCAGTGCCGCCCCGGAGGCGTTCCAGAGCCGTGGGACGCGGCACTGAGGGAGGTGTTGGTGGGATGGGCTGATGGCTGGATGTGATGCTGCTCAGTGGCTCTGAAGCTTTGATGGATGACACTCTCTGCTTTTCTTGGAGGTTTACACAGTCAGGGGGCAGTTTGGTAAAGCTACCGTGGACTTCTCAGACACTGGGAAGCTGATAGAGAAGACAACGTTTGGTAAGAAACTGAGTCGATGTGTTTAAGGAAAAAAAAAAAAACCTGAACAGAACACAAAACAAAGAGCACTCCTGCTGAATAGCAAGGCACTTGGCCAGGTAGAATGCACAGCAGTAGAAGGTAATGCTCCAAACACTTCCTGGCCACTCTGTGCACGTAGCCCACATGCAGTCAAGGTGCTTTTGTCCACCTGTGCTGAATGCAGCACGCACAAACCAGGCTGAGCCTTCATCCCAGCAGCTGCTGCTGGCATGGCTGGGAGCCAGGTGTGCTTATATCACATCTAGAGGTAGCGGTGAGAAGCCTTTGTGCAATTAAATCCTTCAGCCACTTGTAGGAGAAACTGGAGCCAACATCTTGAAATCAGTTAAGAAAAAATGACCCTTCCTTTGTAGTGCAGCACTGTGCTGCTCATTTACATGGCGCGATGAGCAGAGCCTACCCCACACTGAGGCTCCTGTGAACCATTTGGATGCGACCTGCTAACACCGATGGCACCACTCAGGCTGCTGTCCTTCCAGCTTCCAGATGGATAATTGAGACTTTGTTTCTATCTTGATATTTGCAGATCATATCACGAGGGAGAAGCTGGAACGGATTCTCGCCGTCATCCAAGGAACAAATCACAAGGCCTTGCTGATGTACGTATGTAAAAAGCATGGCGGTGTTTGCCATGACAGCTTGTAAAGGTTTGAGCACTAGATCAGAGCAGACAGAAGTCACAGAGTGCTCTGCATGCTGGTGAGGGACCACTGTTAAGTGTCCTTTTTTGTACTCTGACATCTCCAGCTCCATAGGACCTGCTGGCTGCAGTAAGACCTGCACTGATGTCTTACAGACGTGGCCAAGCACCTCCCTCCCAAACCTCCACACTGCTGCAAACAGTGCAGCATTAAGATGTGTGCAGAAACTTCATGCACGGGCAGTTCTGAGAATAACAAGTGCAGCTCTGCTTTAGTTGGGACTGCACCTATTTTGAATGCCATTGAAGAGAAGCACTCAGTGTCTGCTCTGCTCCTTTTCTCCTCTTTCCAGGCATTCTAACATCGATATGAAAACACAGGAGGCCTATGAGCTGGCTGTGAAGGGGCTGATTCGCCCCATGGGAAAAAGCCCCCCAATAATCACTGCCATCCGGTGTCTCCAGTTTGCACTCCCTGAATTCCAGCTAGGTAGGACTGGTGCAGAATGGACTGGGGGAGGTCTGGTGTGAATGTGTATATAAGTTGGTGAAATTCACTTTCCTGTTAGTGACCTCATGCACCATGAATTGGCGGGAGCTTGGTACCAACCAGTAATCCCTGCAGTGTCATGAGCTGTAGCTTCCAAGCTCAGCACAGCATCCCTTTGCTGGATGATCTCTGTAGTGCAAAGCCTTTGTTTTCCCCTTTTTCTGAGTGCAATTGTCTGAAACCTTTACAGAACTGAAGATGCTGCAGCAAATCAAACCAGTTGCACACCTCCCTCATTTTGCTTTCCCTGCTACTTGCAGATCGTAGACTGAGGCAAGAAACTTTGCAAAGTGAATGCCTATGGGGCAAAATTCTTCCTTGTGCTGATATTTAAATGCAGTGCAGCTCAGGGGGCATGGGAGCGTGTTTAAACATGGTTTGCTTTTCTGCAGTCGGTCTGCTATTGCTCACAAATAATTCATCACAAAGGTGGGAAGGTAAATCTTATCCACTTTAAAATATCTAAATCTCTCTGTCATTCTGCTGCATATACAGATCTGTTCTCTAAAGCTTTAGTTTCTGGGGGGGCCAGGACAGCCTGCAGTATTCCAGAAATGCACAATCCACCTGTGCTTTATCATAGCAATCTATTCTGCTGAACTGTTTCCTTCAGCATAAGCGTGATGGATGTCTGCACTACAGACAAGGTCTGAATTTGTCCCATTGCTTTGCCCGTTCTAAAGGAATCTCTCTGACCTTCCAGAAATTCACTGCTTGCACGAGACCCAGCAATACCTCCGCAAAGTAGTCCATGAGATCGGGCTGGAGCTGAAATCATCTGCTGTGTGCACACAAGTGCGAAGAACGCGGGACGGTGTCTTCACACTGGATGATGCTCTCCTGAGAACGCAGTGGAACCTGCAGAGCATACAGAATGCAATTCTGAACTGTCAGCTTAGAGTGAAAACCGAGTTAGAGAAAACAATGAGCCATTGGGATGGAAGTGTTCTTCAGGAGATGGATGCTGAGGCTGCCCACGCCGCTGACAGCTGAGTATGTGCTCCAGAGGGAACATCCACATCCCCTCTGCAGCACAGCAACAGAGCTACGTGCTGACAGGATGATGGACAGCAGAAGGAAAGAGGTTAATTGCAGTTCACTTCCACCATTTCTTCGAGATGACTTTCATCAGAGAGGCATTTTTCCGTTGACAGGCTGTATAATTTTAAAGCATTGTAAACAGTTCATTAACAGGAGTTAGCTGTGCCAAAATCCCTGTTGGCTTTGGGATCGTTAGGTTGCTATGGGATACAGAAGCCTCTTCCCAGATTGTTCAGCAGCAGGAAACACAGGCACCTTCTTACAGAGCTGTGTCCTCTTGACTGCACGATCTGCTTGCTCCTCTCAACCAGCAGCACAACTCCACTGCTGCACAGGTTTTTATTTTCCCCACGTTCCCCTAGCAAAAGTAGTGCCTTTGCTTTAGCCCCACTTTCAGAGCCAGAAATGAGACTAAAAGAGAGCTGCAAGGGAGGAAAGGCAGCTTACCTAAAGTTCAGCAGGGAAATGGCTGTCAGAGTGTGTGCAGTGCAGAAAGAGGGACTGACACAAAGATGCTGACAACATAAGGAATAAAACTGAAATTGACACGAAGGGAAAGAGGCTGTTTTTGAGTTCAGCACTACAGACAAGCACAGTGACCCTTTAATTAAGAAAGAAAAAGCTTTGTTTGCTTTTGCTGATGAACCAGGGGTGCTCAGGGGCTGTGGTGTGCTGTGCTTTGGCAGCTGCCTGCAGGCAGAGGTACTGCCTCTCTGTGGGGGTTTCAGTTCTGTAATTCCACTTGTTACCTGTGAGATCATTATATGTGGATTAGACTTAACAGAAATAAGCCTTCTAAATTTAAATTAAGAACGGTGCTGTTACAACATGCAATATTTTCCTGCTATCTGCTCAGCCAGAGACTTGCTTACTTCTAGATATTTACGTACTCTAGAAAAGCAACAGAAATTATTGGTTCTATTCTTCTGGATTTGGGCAAAGACAAGCATAGTTTATCTTCCAGATTGCCCTTAAAGTACAAGGAGCGACTCTGGGAGGAGCAGGGATGAAATACCTCAGTAGCAGAGCTCAGTCCCTGAAGTTTTTAACTCAGAGCCTGGAACCCTTCCATTTCGTCCTGGGTCTCCCTGCTCTGCAGACAGCACCACGCAGCACTGCTCTGTGCCCACTGCAGAGCCTCACCAGGGGCAGTTTGCTGTTGGCTGGCTGGTTTGTGTGCATCCATCCTTTGTGGACAGCGGTCTGAGATGAGGACATCATCCCCAACAGCTCCCTTGTGCTAACTGAAGCAAAACCCAGCACTGGTTAAACAGACAGTGTCAGTGTGACTGCGTTGATCCCAGTGCTTCTACAAGGAGGGGGTGGGGGGAAGGAAACACGGACCTCTCAGTCCTTCAATAACCTTCCATGACTTTGGCAGCAGGCTGTGCTTCATGCCACGTGCCTTACACCTCGCACAAAGTGCTGGCATTGATGTATGCACTTCCCAATGGAAAAAACATTTCCCAACGCCTTTTTGCTGTGCTCTCAGCAGCAGCTTTTCTGACCACTGTCTGATATCCAGGCACTGTGAAGAGAGATTAATTTCTTTCAAATTTAGAAATACAAAGAACAGACTGCAAATACAGGCCTGACTGAAAGCAGGGGGGGAAAATTGCTTGGCAGGAAGGTCTGGGAAGTAGAAATGGACAGGACATTGAGCTTGAGGGAAGCAGGAACAACATTTGTGGTCAGAGCACTTCATCAGTTGGCACAAAGCAGCCAAACTTGGGTTGTGCAGTCACCCTCAGTCCTAAGAGCTGACGCTGAAACACTCCTGCTCTCAACACAACCCTGTGCTTAGGACACTGCTCACTTTCACTGTAGTGACTGCATTGACAATTGAGTAAACGTAATTCTGCAGCTCTCATTCCCAGCAGCAGTGCTGCCACACTGTCCCCAGTAAGTCCTCAGAAAACACTGAATAGCACATCTTAATGTTGTCTCAGAATAGAATATAGCTGAAGAATTTGTTCCCAAGTTCATTTCATGAGTCACACGCTCTCAAAGTGAATTACAGAGGGATGCAATAGCTGCTTTAATTCAGGTCAGACAGTTCAACACAATGTTCTGTTTACTACAGAAATGAAACAAAACCTCTGGATATTACAGCAGTTGAGTACAAAATTGCTGCACACTCAAACTCCTCCAGATCCAATCATAACAAAACCAAACCACCATCACAACTTCAGCCTTTGGTCCTCTTTTCTCCCCACGGCTTTCCTGACACAGCAGCTGTCACTTCACACATGCTGCTCCCAGACTTCCTCCATCCATCCAGAGGCTGCTCCACCTGCAGGTTAACATACCCAGATCGAGCTTGGATGCTGCAGAGAAGCAAAGGCTCATTGGGAAGAACTTCAGCATCAACCTTGGATTACAACCATTCCTATTAAGAAATGACGATTAGAAATAGTGTTTCTCAGGTAGCAGAGTAAACTGAAAGTATCCCAACATCCCTTTCCCACAAACAGGAATGAGTTGGTATCATCCTTAACTTGCACATTCCAAAGCTGCTGAGAAATGTGGCTGCTAACAAAATCTCTTGAAATTCAGCATATGTGCTGCTTCTGTTGGCTCTAAATGGGTACGACACCAAAACACAATGGCCCTGCAACAGTCATGTCTGCAGGTCACGGCAGCCTGCGGGTCCCATGCTAGTCACTAAGCTCCAGGTCATACTCAGGGTACAGCTGCTTTGTAGTAACTCCTCGGATTACAGCTAGAAAAGAAAGAAATTCCATTGCTTTCATTAAGAAGACGGCAAGTAAGTCAGAAAAGATTTGTGTTTTCCTCCTAGTAGACTCTAAGTATCCCACAGAAGCACCCACAGCTAAGGAACCAAGAATTTCCAGCTGTGCCCCCTTCCCCACCACTTTGTTTTGTTAAGGAAGCCTAATACTGAAACAAGCTCTGCCTTCGTGGCATCAGTGTCTCTATATATAAAGATTTACTTCACCAAGATCTTCAATAGCCTTCCACTCCTTACCCAGTTTGCCTAGCAGCATCTGTCCAGCATCTTTAATTTCATTATACTCATGGAGCAGGGAGATGTGCTTCTCCAGTTCCTCCACGCTGTACCCCCTGTAACAAAGCCACAAAACAAAACCACTGCCAAACAAAGGATAGCTGAGGTATGCAGACCCAGCCTGGTAAAACCCCTCTGTTTAGAACAACGATTTTTAGGTTGGATATTAGGAAAAACCCCTTCTCAGAGCTGTCAGGCATTGCACAGCCCAGGGAGTGCTGGAGCCCCTATCAGTGCAGATGTTCTGGGGCCGTGGGGTCGTGGCATGCAGGGATGTGTCAGTGGCACAGCGGGGTCGGGATGGAAGAGCTTTTTTCCAGCCTTCACGTCCCTAGGATTAACGCCCCTCTGCATTCAAATCAAGTGCGCATTGCCCCACACAGAGCAGGGGAAACGCTCATCCAGGCCCGGGCTGGGCAGCGGTGCAATCCACGGCCTGAGATCCCACCTGTATCAGCAGCTCTGCTGGCACAACGTGTGCTGACATCAGCTAAAAAATACCCCCATTCATTCCCAATTTACACATCGTTACCGCAGCACGTGAGGTCAGAGCCTTCCCAACCAAGCCCTAAGAAAAACAACCGGGAAGGAGCTCCGTGCTGCAGCTCACGGGCCCCGTAACCCAAAGCACGGCCGCAGTACGGCGCAGCCAGCCGGGCCGTAACGGAGCCCCGCGGGCCGTACTCGGACAGCAGCTGCGCGATCTCCCGGTCCAGAGCGCGGTCCTTTTCCTTCAGAGCTTCGATGTCATCGCACGGCGCTTCTCCGTCCGCTCCGTGCGACGGTGCGGCCGGGAGCTGCGGGAACAGAACGCGTCCGGCGGCCGCTAACGAAACCGCGAGCCGCCGGGTGAACGGGGAGGGAGAGCGGCTTACCGGAGGTCTGAAACCGGCACCACCGCTCCGCCGGGAGCCGCCGAGAGACCTGAAACAGCGCGGGGAGCCCCGCGTCAGCGCAAGACGGCGTCAGCGGGGCGCTGCGGGACGGGACGGGACGGCCCGAACCTCTCCTACCTCCGCTGCGCCGGCGGCGCCACGCGCCCCGAGGGGGAACGGCGCTGCTCCGCCAGGACCGCCGCGTCCCGCACTCACCACCGGCACGGCGCGGGGCACGCCGGGAACCGGATGTCGGCACCGCGGGGCACGCTGGGAGTTGTAGTCCCGAGCCCGGCCGTGCCCTCTCGGCGCCGGGGAACGCATTGCCGTGCCGGGGGCGCGCCGAGGTGGGGAGCGGCGCGGCGCGTAACCACGTAGCCGTCTGCCGTGGGCGGGCCCCGAGCCGGGGAGCGGGGCGGATCCGGCCGCCATTCGCGCCCCGCAGCGGGGGAGGCGGGCCGGGCGGAGAGCGGAGCGGGGCGGAGGAACGCGGCCGCCCCCGGGCCCCGGGGTGGGGCGGGCGCTCGGGGCGGAGCCTGGCCGCCCAGCGCACCGCGCCGATCGGCGGCTGACGTGGCCCGGGCGCGGGGCGGACATGGCGGACGGCAGCAGGCAGAGCAAGCTGGCGGCGGCCAAGAAGAAGGTGAGGGCGGAGGGCCGTGCGGGAGCGGTGCTGGAGGCCCGGAGCGGTGCGGAGAGGCTCGGCTCAGCCCGGCCCGGCCCGGTCCCGCAGCGCTCCGCGGCGCCCGGCGGTGGGGGCGGCCCGTGGGGGCCGGGCCTGCGCTGCTGCGCCGCCTGCGTTCCGTGTCTGCCGCTCCCTTTCCCTTTTGGGTTTCTTTTCCATCTCTATTTTCCCTTCTTCTTCTCTTTTTTTTTCTTCTCCTCATTTCTTTTCCCCTTCCTGTTCCCTTTTTTCCTTCTCGAGGGGCAGCTCGGCCCGCTCCGTCCCGGCGCGATGCCCTCCTGTGTCAAAGTCAAACGAATGGGAAAGTGCCCTGGAGCAGCTCGGGCTTCCATTTTGAAATCCTCCCGAGGATCCTTTTCGTTCCGGTGCTTTTCACCTTGACGTGGAAGCGCAGCCCTGCCTCCATGGCCGCCCTCGGGGCCGCAGGAACCTCCGGAGCACCGGAACCCCGGGCTGCTCAGAGCCTGGCCAAAACTGCCTTTAAATCGGCATCCGTCGCAGATTGCTGCTCCCCGCGGCCCGCAGTGGTGGCAGCGCCGGTCTCAGTGCGTTATCTGGAAGGTTGTTCTCCTTCAGTCCTTTCAATGTTCTTGTTACATCTTATTACCAGACGCGGCTTTTCTAGTTTGCATTGCGTGTTATTATCCTTTATTCCTTATTGCTGTTAGTTACAGACTTACAAGTACTTCTTCTTGCAGTATCAGCTTGTTTCCAGGGCACTTCCTCAATTGGATGCTGAAGTTGGGCACTGGCAGCCCTGCCTCTTGTCGCAGACCCATCACTCTCATTCTCACTTTCAGAGCCCCTGAACTATTTTTGATACATATACATTTTCTTTTCTTAGAGAAGGAACTCTTTAAGGACAGTTTCTCTTGTCCTTACAGCTCAGCTGACTTCTTACCCACTGTTCTGCTGTCATTTTGTTGGTGGTGTTATATTCACAGAAGACATATTCTGTTTGGACTTCAGGTTATTCTTTTTCTTTCCCCACAGCTGAAGGAATATCAGCAGAAGAACAGCCCTGGAGCGACTGCGGGAGCCAAGAAAAAACGAAAAACTAAAGAAGGAAGTAGACCTGAGACTCCCACAAACGATGACCGACAGTCTCCAGAGAACGTGAGCGTCCCCCTCTTTCTCCCAGATAAGCCCTCTGCCTCGTGCTTTGGTTTCCAAACAGCACAACTGGGACTGGAAGAGTTATGCAGTGTAACGTGAGCGGCTGGGTTGCCTTTGTTAGCAGTTTGTGAGTCAGGGTGTGTGCTGGAGCAGTGCTGGAGTATTCAGAGCTGTAACGCAACCCTGGATGCACCCAGAGCTGCTGTTCAGAGATGGGAGCTCCTCGGGAGCAGCACGATGCTGGTTTCTTTGGCTGCCTTTGATGGACGTTTTTCTCTCTGTCCTTTTCTGAGCCGTTTCTCTTTTCCACTTCTCTTTCGCCTCCTTTAGATTCAGAACATTCTGAAGGTGCTGGTGTCAGACCTTAACCGCTCCAATGGGGTAGCCATACCCTCATTGGACAAAAGGAAGGTGAGGCAGTGCTCCGTGTCCCTCCCAGTGACTCGCTGTCCCCTCTGCATGCTCAGCTTCTGTTTACACTGACCTTGATTTTGGATGGAGCCTTGTTCTGGCATGCCTGCTGTGTTTTGTGCCTGTTTTTATTAACACGGGGCTGTTTGTTAGCATGTGTTTCCATCACTTGTAAGTGCTTGTTTCCTCCTGTTTTCTGTCTAAAAATGCAAAAAAGTTAACCGTGTCCATTGCACATCCTTCAGACAGCTGAGCTGGAAGGAAAAACAGAACAGAGTTTGGGGTGAAGCAGCAAACCAAGTTAACTGCTGAGAGATGCTGCGCTAGGGAGGAGTAGTGCCTTATTAATTTGTATTTCTCCTGGTCTGTGTTGTTGTTTTATTTACTTCAGTGCTGTGCTTCTGAAGGGCAAGTTTCTGCTTGAAGTGCCTGAGCCCTGAGCAAACGGTGTAGTTATTCCAGCCACCCATTTATGACAGGTGATGAAACTTGCACAGGCGATGTACAGTCTGGCAGGTACCACAGTTTTAAATATGTCTAGGCAGGAAGTCAAGTATTTCGAGTACAGCATTTACTGGCTTGAGTGTCTTCCCTCACTCCTGGAGAAGGAAGGGCAGGAAGAAGTCCACTGAGCAATGGAATGCGTGCAGGTGTAACTGGATCCTGTAGGCTGTGTGCCATCGCAGAGCTTAAGTGACAGGAGGACCTCCTGGGAGCTCCTTGTTATTGTGTGTATATTTATTATATTTACATACCACATTTATTTTATTACTTACTTACTTTAAAACTGTTTATTGTGGAGGCAGAAGGAAGGCATTCTTCTGGTTGTGTTGCTGACTTTTGCATCTAGAAGTGTTAAGCGAAAAGAATGTTCCAATCAGAACAAATTAAGGACATGTTTTTAGACTTCTGGGCAGAAGTCCACGTGATGTTCTACATTTATGATAGCCCGAACAAACAGAGGCGAAGCAACCTGTACCTGAAATTAGCAAGGGAATTCCTGGCTTTCCTTTAAGCCCCTAAAACATGTCGCTCCTTGAGAGCACCCGTGTCTGTCCTCCAGAAAAATGATGGAGGCAGTTCCATTTGTTCCCCTCTGCAGTTTTCCAGCTCATTACTCTCATTAAATCTGCCTTCACTACTGCTGTAACCTCGTGGCTGCTTGATTCATGAATGAAGTGCTGAGCAGGTAAATAGGGAATGCCCAGAGTTCCTGTTTCATGCAGACTGCCAAGAACGAAGCGACTGAAATAAAAAGGAGCTCTTTCAGATGGGTTTGCAGAGAACTGCAGTGCATTGGTGGGGCTGGCTGCCGAAGGACTATTGTTTGCTTTGCAGTGTCATTAAATGATGGTTTATCAGAGCTGAAGTAAAACTACTTGCCATAAACCAACAGAACACTGCTTTGGGTTTTATGGCTGGCTGCGTGGCTGGACAGGATGGATGGAATTGTCCATTTTGCTGTGGCTCAGTGGAGGTGTTGTCAGCTGTTTTTATCCGTCCCACGAATGCTGGATGAGGGCCTTCATCACTGTCCAGGAATAGTTTTTAGGCCCTTTTCTATTTAGATTCTTGTAGCTGTGGGATTCCTGCTTTACGAGGGCTGTGGGCACCTGTTCCCAGCTGGGCTCATTTTGGCCTGTTCCCAAATGTCCTGTTTTCTAAACGTCTGGTTCACAGCTTGCTGTTTGACTAACCTGGTTGTCAAGCAGTCATTTGCCTGTTCTCCCCCACCTTAATTTGCACCCAGTGATCAGTGTTTTCCCCAGAGACACGTGAAGGGCAGTGCTGTACACAGCAGTGCTGCCATCTGGCTTTGCCCACTGCTCACTTTTTGACAAATCCTTTGCAGGAAATCCAGTGTATGAGCTTGGAGTAGGGAGATGCTGTCAGCCCTCATTAGAGAAGTGATTGTGGTGATGGGGCAGTTCTTCAGACTGGATCTACAGGACGGAGGGCTGGGGTGACTTTGGGTTGTGGGTTGATGCCGTTTGCTCTGGGGAGGACATAGATTCACTTCCATGTGTTTCTACATGACTTTGTTCACATCTGTTTCTCACAGGCCTGTAGCAGGGTGATGTGTCCATGTGTGTTTCCTTCGTTCTGCACGTAGGCTGTAATTCCTGTGGTGTGTTTTGTGACAGGCATACTTTGACAGTGATGTTGCCACTCGTAATGCTGACCAGCTTGCTGCCGATGTCCCCGTGCTATCTAACAGCAACAGCCTGCCTACCTGTGCTTCTGTCCTGCCTGCTCCTGGGGGCATGCAGCTGACACAGGTTTGTGAGTCACCCACCATCAGTATCTCCACACTGGTTAGCCATCCTTTTCTGAGAAAGACAATCCCCATAACTAGCTCACGTTGTCTCCTGTTAAATATACTAGGTTCTCCACTCTCCTGATCATCATCATCATCTGTCTGTGAGTGGAAGGTACTAGCATGCACACATCCCTGCTGCTTCCAAAGCTGCAGTTCTCCTCCCCTTCTCTTCTATTTAATTAGCAGAAAACACTCTTAATAATACAGAAGATCTCCAGCTAGCTGGAGCAATCTGCATTTCCTTTCACTGCATAAAGATTCCGTTGAAGTTTTTCCAGCAAAGCACAGCTGATTATTCTGATAAATGGTAACAGCAAATACAACACCAGTAACACTTAAGCCTCTTAATCCCAAGAAGGCTAGGCACTCAGTGCTCAGAAATTATGGGCAAGCTGGAAAATGAGCTGGTTTTCTGAAGTTGATCTTTCTTTGGGAAGCAGTAATTACAGGTGCTGTGGAACCTGAGCCCAGATGCAGTCAGGCCTTAGGGGCACATTCACAAACATGATTCTCAGCTTTTCTTACAGGCTTGTAATCTTTTGTTTTAATCCACAGATTCATGAAGCTGAGGATCGTAAAAACACTTTGGATGAGAACAGGTGAGTGTTTGTGTTTGCAGCAGGATCCCAAAGTGTCCAACAGATAAAGGTTTGACTGCTCCCACTGCTGTACTGATCAGAACAGTTCTCTGGGAGGAATGTTCACCATGAGGCCTTTCTTTGTCCCCAGGTCTCTGTCATCAACAGAAAGTCTCCGCCAGCTGTCTGAACAACTCAATGGCCTGGTTTCTCAGGTACAGCCTCATCTTGGTGCATCTGTCCCAGTAATTTTTTGGTGTCTGGTGCAAATCTTTAAGCAGCCAGCTTAAGAAAACACTCTTCAGTGTCAGAGATGTCTGCA